TTTTTACTCGATGTCAATATTCTTCTTGTAATTATTTTCAAGTAATTTGAAAGCTCCAGTCGTCGATGATCACCATGGCGATCAACGTGTTAACAATCCTTCTGTTTTCCCTTTTAAATTTAAATTTCTTTTGAAAGCTAGTCAGACCAATGCGTGGATCATCTAATTTATTAAGCAAGCGTTAACGACGAGAACACGGCAACGCCGCCGCAGGTTCGCACAGTTGCACTAATTGTGCGGCTCGCTCTACAAATGTCGGAATGCGGAAGATCTGACAGTAGGCCCCCATTATTACAATGGTGCCTGAAATTAACGCCGCGATTGTTAGCGTAATAACACCGCTCTGTGATAACCTGTCCCGGAATAGGGTGTAACACGGTGCATCGGTTGCGTAAGGTCGAATATCATAACGAAGCCTCATCAGATTCTGACAATAGCGGGGAAAAAACGGTCTCGCCGAAACAAAGGGTACTCTGTTCCTTGTTTGTCGGATGAATATCCGAGTTGAGAGAGTTTGTTCAATGAGGTGTGCTTGAGAATTACCCAAGTAATTAGCTATTTATGTCCTGATTGGTGTTATCTCATCATTGATCTCGTAGTTTTGTTGTGTGTCTTTTAACACTAAACGTATCCTTCCGTTCCTGAATATGTATTTCTCCCTGAAATCAAAGAGAGCCAGGAACAGCTGCTTTCTAGGTATAATTCAAGGTTTTCAGTGAAAGAAATAAGTTCAGCAATAATAATAGGAATTAACACTTAAGCTGTCAGCCATAAGCAAAGATTCGTGTGGTAATTTTCCTTTATCTGTAGAGTGTTTTCTGGCTTTCCAGTAATTTAAAATTTTTGTGGTACCTATGTGCAGTATTCGAGGCGAAAGAGTTGAGGTGCGAATGCACTAGTATCTTCCGAAATTTTTTTCTAATAGTGAGCATAATAAATTCTCTTGGAAATAATAATACAGTTAAATAAAATGAAATAATATAGAATAAAATAAAATAATATGAAATAACATAGAATAAAATAAAATGAAATAATGTAAACTAAAATGAAATAATAAAAAGTGAAATAAAATAAAATGAAATGAAATAATATAAAGTGAAATAAAATAAAATAAAATGAAATAATATAAAATCAAATAAAATAAAATAGAAGTTCAAACACTTTCACGAGACACTATCCGAAAAATCAGTCGCAGATTGTTAACTACCGTATCTGCACCTTGAATTCCATCGTTCCTCGCAGCGAGCGTTCGCGAAATGGATCTACAAGAATTTTACTCTCGAGAGCGGCCAGCAGATAAATTATTTTTATCGGGTGGCCGAGATTTCCCGCGGCCGGTCCGCGCCGCCTGCCCTCGGATTTAATCGACGTAAACGAAAAACGTGGTTACGTCGTGCTGGAGAACGTTAGATGCCGGAAAAAACCTCTCGTTTTCTTCCTCCGGGGTTCGGATTCATCGGGCGCCGTTTGTAACTGCGAGTTTCAATCACGATTGGGATATTTACGCGGACCGGCAGTAAAATCGATATTTTTTTTCACTGAAGCCCGGATTAAAAGCGATCCCGTTCCGCTGCGAGCGAAATGTTTGAAGAGACACGTGGAATAATAGGTCGCGTTCGCTTATGCAACGTCAATATTAACTGTACAGAGTTAATTGGTAAATTAACTGGAAAGTCAGCGAAATTCTATTCATTTCTTCCTGTCTTTGTTTTTGTCAAGTGATTATTACTTGTTAAAGGGGAAAGAATCCTTGTATACCGAACTTGATATATCAAGTAAGAATAGGAAATCATTTTTCGAATATTCTGTGCATTTAGAATGTTTCCACAAATATTTGTATCTTAAGAAAGCATATATCCCGGCTCTATCTTTCCAGACTTCACAGATTCACGATTCTTTTAATTGGAAAATTAGTTCTTCGGTGGTAATATTTGTTAAAAAGTAGTTTATAATTAATTGGTAAGTTAACTGGAAAGTGAACGATATTCTAATCATTTCTTCTTGTCTTTCTTCTTGTCAATTGATTATTACTTGTTAAAGGGGAAAGAATCCTTGTATACCGAACTTGATATATCAAGTAAGAATAGGAAATCATCTTTCGAATATTCTGTGGGAAGAGTAATATATTTTGAATGTTTCCACAATTATTTGTAACTTGAGAAAGCATGTATCCCAGCTCTATCTTTCCAAACTTCGCAGATTCGCGATTCTTTTAATAAGAAATTTAGTTTTCCAGTGGTAGTATTTGTTAAAAAGGAAGTGGTTTATTTTTCAACAGAATTCTCGTAATAGTAGTACTGTGACTCTATTTTAATGAGGCTGCTCAGTGAAAGTGTTTTGATAAGGTTGCGCAGCAGGGTTCAACGAGGTCTCGGCGTTACGCGACCCACGTCAAGTTAAGCTCCACTTTGTAGGCAAATTTTGAGCTGACAATCGTCAGCAAACGTCAAAACGGGACACGTGTCTGAATGGTAAAATCCTTCATATGCTCGTTGTGAGTATTCTGCAGATATCCTGGAGCAGAGAAGACGCTGCTCGTTTCGACGAAATAGATCCGATAAGATGTGGCACGTGTTATCTGTTTGAGAAACGTAATATCCCATCAAACACATAGAACTGTTCAAACAAGAAAAAATATCGAATTAATCACAAATATTCTCGTCTTACATTGGAAACGAATAAATAGAACGAAACACGTTTCACCTCGTTTAATGAAACTTCAGTGAAACTTATATTTGTATATTTTCTAAAACACGAGGCTTCTTGCGTGTTACAAAAGATTTTCTATATTATCCAACCCAATTTCTTCAAACAACACAACCTTTATTAAACGAGCGATACCAATAATATATTTTTCCTTTCGAATCTTCGTGTCGTTGCTTCGCACAAGCGTTCAAATGTATAACAGAACGTTATGATCCATTAAAAGAATGTTCACTCGATTTCTTGCAAAAAACCGATTTAATGATCGCACATGTAATACTGCGGACGAAGTGACAAGTATATTCGGGATCGAAACGAATCAAATATTTGAGCAACTCCCGTCGGAATGGAACTCCCGGGGGTCAGTAAGACCATCCGCGAACGCAAGAACAGTATAAATCTTATCGATCGAAGCACCGCGGTGCACTTGTGTGCGCGGCGCGTGGCATGTGACGCAGGTGCATGAATTTGTCACGGCTAATCCGCTGTTACAGACCTAATGGAAAATGCACGGTTCCGCTGGCAACGCCGATCGAAGGTCGAGTTCCAAATGCGAGGTGGCGACGTACGATCGAGTATCATGGAGACATTCCCGTGTAGAAAGTGTTAAATGTTATTTATAAATCTTACAAAATTACAAACGATCCGCTCATTCGTCTTTTTTCGTCATTTTCTTTTTTTTTATTCTTATTCACCACCTCCTTCTTCCTCGTCTCCCTCCTCTTCTTCCGTGATTTCTTTCATTTTTTTCTTCTCAGCAGTTCTTTCCTGTTGTTCTTTTACAGTCGCGCGTATGAGAACGCGTCATCAACGACGGAGCATACTCTCGCTGTCTGCGTCAGCTGGAAAACCGCGGCTCCCCGGTTCACCGTTCGCCGGGAAACAATTATCGCTATCTAATTCAAAGGAAAATTGCTCGAAACTCGAGGATACAGGACGTGGCAGCGGGTCGCGGAAAGTTTAAAGCGACGACAATCGTACATAATGCGGATCTGGGATGGTGTTAGGCGGCGAGTTCTGGGCCCTTGCTCCCCGTTACAGCGCGCACCCGACCGAGGAACTTCTTCATGGCCATAAGGAATTCATGAATATCTCTATCATTCTTAGGAAGCCGCAATATGGCGCATGGCGACCATCTTGACTCGCGGCGCGACGCTGTCGGTTGCGGCGTTTTAAAGCGAGACAACTGAACAGACTTCCGTTTCGGGATCCTTCCGCAGCCAACGTCGAGCGACGAGCAATTCGGCGACGGGTAAGCGAAATTATTCATTCCGAACTTCAAATGCGAAACTCTCTCAATTTAAAACCATAGGTTTCTTTGTATTATTCATCGTTTGTTGTTTCAAGCAATTGTTCCCAGCAATAATTTGTCATTGTTACTCGATCTCGTAAGTATATCAAACCGAGGAAAATTAAATTAACAGCTCTGTGACAAGAATAAGAAGATGAATAACGTTAACACAATTCCCTGGTAATTCACAATTTGCCAGATACGTACATGTAGCGTGACCAGGACATCAGATGAATTTCTAATGAAAGCTAGAGTAACTGATGCTTTCTATGAACTCTAAAGCACCGAACCCCCTGCCACAGTCCCCAGAACCTGAGACCACGCCCAAGCCCGTCTGAGACATAACGGAAACACGGCATCGATGTGTCCTCGTTAAAGACTTTTGTTCAAAGACTCTTCGGAAAACAAAGGAATGGATCATTTACTGTCGTACAACAATTTCGTACAATATCCAGGGGACGAGCGAGCGCAACGCGACTGCCGGCCGAAGGTCCCATCAATCTCGCCCACTCGCCGTACACCACGTCGTTCGAGTAACAGCGCGTTGTCGCACGGATCGGCGTCCAGCCAAATCGAGACACAGCTTGAACCATGCGCGTGGTGTCTGCACGCTCGCACGCGTTAATCTCGGTAGCCTGGCTGGTTCCAACGCGAGGCACCCTTGAACGCGCCCCAACGCGAGAATCCGTCGACCGACCTCGAATTTCCCGCCTAACCGCGTCGAATCCCGAAGCCCCGCTTTCCCCACTTTCACGTTTCGTCGTTGAACAATCAAGGATCTGCGCGAATTAACCCGGTGATCCGACTTTCGCGGCTCGAAAGTCGCGCGGGCGCGAACGTCGGCCGATCGCGGACGCGAAACGGTGAAGGAATCTTCTCCCGCGGGACCGTCGGGGATCATTTCGCGGCGGTCGCGAGCAAATGACAGGCCACGTTCGAGGAACGTGTGATCCACGCGTGCATACGACGCAACGCTCGACTCGAGATCTCCTTTCTAATTCCGATCACGCGCGTCCTTATTCATTGATCGCGCGTTCGACTGAGACGAATGAGAACGCGTTAAACGCTGAAGCGCGTCCGTTGCACGTCGGTCGTGTCCCGCGGCCGCCGGGTCGCCGGGTCGTGTCGCGTCGGCCGGATATGTCGATATTTTCGATGAACGTTTGCTTCCCGCGCTATCGGACCCTATCAATTCGCATGTCTATTCGCTACCCCTTGTCGCTTTCTTCGTTGATCCGTTGTCGGACTCTCGTTCTGCCTCGCTTTATCTTTAATTAGCTAAACCCCTATTCATCCTTGATTCATCTTTAATCAGATAAACTCCCGTTCTTTCTTTCTTTCGTTCGTTCTTTCTTTATCTTTAATTATAAGTAAAGTTTACAAAGGGCGACGCGCAGCCCGTTGTCCTCGTTAAACGAAGGACCGGGCTCGAGTCTTTTCTTCTCCGTTCTCGCGGGATGGTTAGTCAGATCGGCGGCAGCGTGTGGTTGTCGTTGATGTCGAGCAACGGCCGCTGGTGCCCGGCCGCGGCGATGGCGTTGCGCTCCTCCGAGTGGACGACGCCCGGTATACTCCCGGTGGAGGGACCGCGTACTAGTTGTTATCGCCTGGACGAACGGAAGTCCGCACTAGGCTATGCGAGGGTGACCACCCCTTCCGGCTCCGGCGACCAACAGTTGTCCGACAGCCAGCACCCGACCACCACCGTCACCAGGCCGATCAGCAACGCCAGGAAGATGTACGCCTCTGCGTTGCCTAAAGAATCTGCGCCCACCGACCCACCGTTATCCTGTCATATTAGTTGCAAGATGGCTGAATGCTAGATCGAGACTTTCAGGTGTGTGCCATGTCCCATAGGAAATTTATCCTAGTATTTCGCTATCATTGAGTATCAATGTGTTGTCGACTCCCGATGGAGCCACGTGCAATGATGTCACGTCGAAACCAGAAAACCTCGATTCATTATAACATTCTAAGCCATGAATGTATTACATTTAAGATGGCTGAATGAGAGCCTAGGCTGTGGAAGCATCGAATCTAAGATGACTACATGGTAGATCGAGACTTTTCGGTGTTAGCTTCTATAGGAAATTTATTCTGATATTTAGCTATTATTGAGCATCAGTGTCTCCTCGACCCGTGATGAAGCCAAGTGCAATGACGTTACGTCAAAACCCGAAAGCCTCAAATCCTCGTCACATTCCAGGCCACGAAAGCATCAACTCTAAGATGGCTGAGGTTCTATCGGGTCATCTCATATATACAGCAGAACCTCGATTAACCGAGTCGCTATCTTCTGTGGTCTACGTTACCGGAGTCTTGGCTAAATTAGAACCAGTAAAAATTAACCTTGAACGTCGAGCCTTGAAGCTGCAGCCGCGACTCAAGTTTTAAGAGTACTAGCTTTGGGCTGTAAAAACTGGAGTCTTCGACGCTCGAGTCTTTATACTCAAAGACTTGTTGAGCATGGAAGGCTCTTAAGCTTCATATCGAACTCTTAAAGCTTCAAGGTTGAGCTCTGAAGCTTCGAAGACTTAGACTGTATTTAATTTGTACGATACGTGTTTAAAACGTTTCCTTTGAATCTTCGATTTATTTGAACTATTAGCCGGATTATTCGATTTATTTGAACTATTAGCTAATTAAATCGGATGATCGAGGTTTTACTGTAATGCGGTATTTTTGTTACTATTGTTAACTATTTTGCGTTACGAACAAGTGAAATTTTGAGAAAGGATATTGGAAATCTACTAGAAAGACGGACGAACGATGCAGATAATGGAAAAGAATACATTTTGATTTAAAATAAGTTTCGCTTATCTTAACTTTTCGAAAGGTAAGGAGTACAAAAATCCGCATTATTTATCGAATGACCCTATAGTACTCGTAAGGATGCTGGAAAACTTGCAATTTCTTGGGAAACGTGCACCGCATGCTAGGACACTTCGTGCCGAAGAAAGTGCAGGAGGATGGTACATGCAAGTGGAGCGTAGGTGGTCAAGAGAAAGTTTCATATCGTTGGTAGATCTAGAGGATCAGTGCGTATGAATTATGAAAAAGCGAATCCGTTTCGAGGTGATTATCTTGTAGGGAAACTGTTTACATCGCAAGCGAATCTCCATGAAAATAGGTTGTTAAAGAAAGACTGAAGAATGCTGGAGGTGCATAAAGCTTTAGTTCTTTTATCATGAATTTCATTGTTCGTTTCATTATCTCTAACTTGATATTCCTAAAATTATTTAAAGCTTCAAATTCTATACTCAAAAACGCCATTAAAATATTCCTCTGACCACCACAATCCCCGTCACCTAAAAGAACAAGCAATACAGGAAAACCAGTGAAACGTCAAACTAAAAAATTAGTTCAATAAAATTTAATCTAGCACTTATAAAACCTCCACCTGCACCAAGACAAAGAATATCATTCACGAGACCCGAAAACCCCGCAATTCATTGCGCGTCGCTAAAAAATCGCTATTGCTTCGATCATTCAGTCTTCCCCTCGCACTCCCATTTGTTTCCAAGCAAACAATATTCCACCGATTTGTCTCCATGAAATCATGCCTTCAATACCCCATCGACTCAACGGTGCTCCAACTATCACCGGAAACATGTACCTAATCCATCTCCTCCGTGGAAAAAGGGAACATGAAAAATTGATCTCTGCAGCAGCTACGAGTTGCAGTTTTTACACCGGAGAACGCAAGCTGCTAGTATTCATAATCAAATACGTCGCGGGTCGGTTTGCACGATATCTGAAAGTTAAATCCGAAATCTGAATTGCGCGGCGGGAAGAGCGCGATCGAAAAGACGCGTCCCCGTTCGTTCGTTTCATGAATCTTTCACTTCCATTCCACCCTGTGTCTATTATCTTCGATTTACCCCCGCCAAGCACCGCTGAATCGACGAAAGGAGGATGAAATGTTAGCCTAAGTAGACCTCGCCGCGAATAACCGCGGCCGTTCCAGGAGACAGCGGGTTTATCGAAGAATTGGGCTCGCTCGCTCGCGCGGCATCCCTGTTATCCCGGCGTGTGCGTGCACGACGAAAACTTTCTTGATTTACCGTCCCATTCGGTATCGACGACGCCGCGCGGAACGAGCTCCGCGGGAAATTGAACCATTCGCGGGCACGGCTTACGGAGCCAGCGCTACGAGATGTGACGTGGCTTCTGTAAAATGAGGTTAACATCCCTCGCGCCGGGAAGACGTACTTACTTGCCACGCACGCCCGGATGTTTTGCTTCTAAAATTGCCAATGGCGGCTTATACGGGTCGGTGGTCTCGTTGCGGCGAGACGGACGTTGCACGAGAGTTGGAACTTGGCTTTTATTGGGTAGTTATCATCTTTGTTCATGTTTTTTATATTGAATTGTTAATCGTTACTGCGACTATATGTAGTCGATGGAAAGTTTAAATGAGCATGGTGAGAAACCCCTGTAGACTTTATTCTGTCTTGCGAGCCAACTCTGGTGCAATGAATGGTATGGTGGAGTGGGAGTTGATAGATTATTCGCGAGCTGAGATGTCAGAGGGAAGGAGGAGTTTTTCACGTTTGGGTCGCCTTTGAGGGAGACGCGAGATTGAGTGCGATGGAGTGAGATGTAACGATGGAGATCAAAGTTCATGGCGCCGTCAAGTTTGTTCTTTATCTTCATATCTCACTCCATCGCACTCAATCTCACTTCTATCGTTTCTTACAGCTAATAACGATCATCTGTTGAGTTCACATAATTCCTCGATGTGTGAAATATTAGAATAAAATAGCTTTGTTCCTCAATGTATTTATGATTTCCCTTCGAAATAGTTTCAAAGGATATCGTCCCCGCCTCGTCAAAAAATGTTCAATTCTAGCGAGAAACTTCCGAGTGCAAAGAGTTAAAGCAACAAAATGATTTTAAGTTTAAATTTGAAAAAGCGTTCTCTGACTGATTCAGAAATAGTGTTAACAACACAAATGGGTTAAAAAGTAACTATCAAAAATGGATTACATCTGTCTTGATACAAGATCTCCACTTACTAACCCCACAATTCACAATTAAACGAAGCAATACCACCAGGGGTGCATAACTTCAGACGTGTTCCTCTCGAAAAGTTTTTCCCACGCGTTAATCCCATTTTACCGGGGCACGTCACATATAACATTCTCGCCAGCAGCTGCCTCTGAACCAAGTTCATAAACACTGAAAAAGTTTTCTTGGCGACACATTGGAAAACTGCCTCCTCACCCCATTCGATGATAAGAACCCGAAAATCCGACGCGAAAAGTTGCGTGCCGTGTTTTTCTTCTCGAAACGTTCGAGATTATCGCGAATTAGCAGTCGAGCTCCTCGCCAAGAGAGATTAACGAGGAAATAAATAACAGAGAACGATTAACTAAAACGCGCGTCGCCGCTAACTTGACATGGGAAATTAGTTTTGGAGAGATGTTAACGGGGTTACAGGCAGTACCGAGCGAGTCGAGGGTCGCCAGCTAATTGGACGAGTGTTTTTTAATTAGTTGGAATTAACTTGTAGCTTGTGCACGTGTTTTTCGTCTGCTGCTTGTACACGTGTCTGTAAGGAAATGAACCATGCATGCTTTGATTAAAGATTGAAACGGAGGAATATTGACAATCGAGGAATTTCCTTTTGAAAATGGTGATTGGTACTTTGAGAAATCAGGGATAACGATGATTGGCAGTATCCCAAATCTTATTTATCAATTTTCATAGGCAATCTTCTTAAATTATTGCAAGGTATGTTGATTTTGTATGAACCCTTTGCGCTCGGAAGCTTTTCACTAGAAACATTCGACAATTTTCGATGAGAGATAGACGACACTATTTGAAACGAACTAATGAGAAAACATTGGTATAGTAACACGTTCGCTATTAGTATCACATATTTTCTATAAAGAAAATGAAATTAATCCTATAGATATAGTTAGTTAATATTATAAGCTACGAAGTTACATTTAAGGATTCAACGACTCGTTTTAGATTCATTTGTTTCAATAGTTTATTTAGAAGATTGATTTGAATAAAATATTAGAATTGAGAGAATCGCTGAAACAAACACTGACAGCGAACGTGTTAAGGAACAAAGCTGTTTTATAAAAATGTTTTGCATATTGATGCATTGTACAAAACTTAATATTATAAAGAACACTTTGTAATTTTGTTATGTCAAATCAAATGGCGACTAAGAGTCACCACTCGAGTGCAAAGGGTCAAATCTAAGCAGTAATTTGAATTAGATGTAAGAAGATCTTAAGCGAAGTCATGGAAAACATGGGATAAAATAGATTGAAACTTCGACGTTGAAAGGTTTAATTGATGCAATAGGTAAACGGAAAAGCGAAGGTTGAATCGCCAGCGAATTGTTGATTCGATTTAAAGTCTGAAGACGTTCGCGGCGAAAATCATCAGTCTCGCAAACCGCGTTCACCACCGGAATACGGTTTAGGATGGCGCAAATGAATTATAACCGTAATCCGCCAAACTTGCGGAAGAACTTCGGTGGTTTCCACGAGGGAACGATGCGCAAGAAACTCCGCAGATTACAATGTTCACCGTGTTCCTGTACTTCTTACGGATTAGACAGTTTCGCGCGTGGTCTCAATATCTGATACGCGAGCGTTGGCGAAGTAATCGACGCCGGAGATTGCGGGAAATTACCCGGTTAATACAGATTTCTCAATATTTAATTCAATAATAAATTAACACCAGTGCAATCAAAGTTACTTTATCTAACTTGTTTCGTCGAAACTCGAGGAATGCATCTGCTGTCTCAATTGACTTAGAATTCATTTTGCGTATCACTAAGTCGATCTTTAGCATTTCCTCGGAGAAGTATCTGTTACCTTCTCAAAACTCGTAAGAAAAGAAAATCGAAAATGGTCGATTTTGATGCATTTGGTAATTTAAGTGTTAAAGAAATTAACACTGTAGATGCTCTAATAGGAAATTTTATGCAGTACAATAACATGCTTTATTGTATTGGATTATTAGTGTGTTTCTAGGTGCAATTAGACGATATCAATACAACGAAGCTACAGTTTGACTAACTGAGACTGGAATCGTATAGTATAGGCAATAGAAAAGTCATGTAATTAATCAAGGAAGCATATTCACTTTTTAAATATGGAGATAAGGTTCCTAAGAAGTATAATTTAGTGATTACTCCAATTGTAAGGTGTGAATGTAATGAGATTTAGCAGTGATCGTTTATATAATAATTTTGACAACTGTTAATTGTCGTTAATGAAATATTGTACAAATTCCAGTCTCACTCAAGCTGCTCTACTGACATGCTAATAAAAATGGCGATGGCTAGAGAAAGCGGGTCCAATTGATTAATTTCTATTTCATTACTGATTCTAATCTGCTATTCGTCAACTCGGTTACACGTAACCAATCAAAACTATGGACCTCTCTTTCCCCACTAGCCATCAAGTGGTAAACCAGGGGTGTCGAACTGCCTTCCCTCAAACTAGTGACTCTAATCAGCGGCTGCCAACTACCTCTACTCCAGAAACTGTCTAAACCTGTGCACGTGAATAGTTCTACGTATATCACTTTGACTGCTCATCACCAGTGACGCCATTTTTACATCAATTTCCTTGGTGACACGTCGGACGAACCGAATTTGGTTGGACGTACGAGATATAAGGATCTTGACTTTTTAGTTTCCGCTTCGTTAACCCCTTGCTCTATAATATCGCGACAGATTCGCGGCTAAGATATCGAACATAACCTAACAAACATAAACGTCATTTAACCTCTCCAGGGATACTGGCACATATGTGCACATTTGATTTTAGTTTAACTTTAACGTCCATCGAACGAAAACTTGTTTTGTTTCGAATGTTTCTCATGACTACCGTCAGTTGCTGGGAACCTGGCACTCGTGATGTCATAGGGGCGGAGTCAGTCGCCCCGAGAACGCCAATTACGAGTCCGGAAACGGCTCTCCCCACTCTTTGTCGCGCGAACCGATCAGTGTGTGCGAGCGCCTCAGCGAACCATATACTATAGCAGGATATTCGTCTGGGGAAGGCGTGTGCCTTCGAATCTGATTATTCGGACCAAAGTGCCAGGTTCCGTGCAACGGACGGTTCCTCCGTCCGTCTTCACATCGTTCGATTCATGTCAATTTGAACAAAATTAACTACAGCCTAATAGAAACTAAGATCATCTTTGTCCGTTCTCAAACAGAATTCAACCTTGAAGAGGTTACTTCCTTTAAATTTAAATTAAACATTGTTTCTATATTATCAATCATAGCGCTTTAAAGTAACCACAGCCATAGAATCAGCGCAAAATGATTTTAATAAACTAGAAGCAATAAAATCTTTTCAACCCAAATTCGACAAATCTAAGTGTTACTCATTAATTTATGTCTATTATCAATCCTCAATCTTCAGAGTAAACGTAGACACAAGTATAAAATTTGTTCCTTTCTCTATTAAATTAAACCGACAAAGTTATTGTAAGCACAGTTAAGAAATAAATCATAAGGCAAGGGGTTGTGCGGCAACTTAATCAAGTCAACCTTGATCCAAAATTTGTATCACGAGTCGAACTCCTGAAGCGTAGCAAGCAGTTAGAGGGTAACCCCCAACGAGGATCTTATCTTATCACATCCTATAAAGATCTCGTGATCCCAGTTCGACACCCCTATGCTAGAAGAAAACAATAGAGTGGTTGAAATTACCTAGAGGTCCCTTCGACTTCCAGAGTCCCTTTATGAGGGTGGGGTCGCCGCGGTGCCAGTTGCGCCACCCTCGGCCCCGACGAGTCGGCCCTGAGGACCAACCTGTACCATTGCCGGCGGTACCGCCGCCGGCAGCACCGCCGCCGGCTCCACCGCCGGTAGTTCCACCGGTGACGCCGAGACCAACCCCACCGCTTCCACCGGCGGTGCCGGTGTCAGAGCCAGAAGCACCGCCGCCAGCAGCGCCGAGGGTGCTG